CATTGTGTAACAATGGCTGAGGCCGTAGCAGGGTATATATATGTATATATATTGAAGAGTAAGTTGGGTTTCCATGGGATCTGGCTATATAGTTATATATAATAATGTTACAGTACGCGAAGTATTCTATTAATTTCAGTTCTTTTAACATTCTTTTCGAAGTGGACTATTTTTTCAAGAGGTCACAGATACAGGATCTCAGTGTCATCATTTTAGATCATTTCGACCTACCACGGCTACTTTCCTGATGTGATGGATAAACCGCCTAAAGCTTCGACGTCCCGCATCGATTTCTGACGTCACTCGTACTTAATTCTTTCTCTCCCGCCCTCGTCTTTCTCTAGCTATTTTTTCTCTGTTCTCCTACGTTTGTTGTTCAGCTTCTCCAGGTCCACCCCTAAAAACCTCGACCCATTAGAATGCAAAGGAGAGAACTTCTTCGAACTAATTTTTTTTCCAAAATTCTCTCGGGGGTCAGCGTTAAGAAAAACCTAGTAATGACCCAACCGGCGTCACCGCAAACTAGGCAAACTATTTGTAAACCAACACGATGGAGCCATTTATTTTATATCTGCTTAAGGAACTGAGCTCAGCCAGGATGAAGCGGGATGAGCCCGGCAAGGAGGAAGACCAAGAACAAGCATATGAAGGCAAGAATGAGGTTCTCAGCTGCCACCCAGCCATACTTCATTCGTAGTGTTTTTCCTAGACACGAAGTCCGTCCATTCGCCCGGTTTAGATTATCATTTTCTCGCTTGCATGGTTCCTTCTCTCTTTCATCCTTTTTGCTGTATTATGGAACTTCCTCTGATGGTGTGCCCTAATAGTACTGGTTTTGAGTCGCTGTCGACACGAAGCACGTGTATAGGTTGGCCGGTCGCTGGGTCGGTCGACTGCATGAGAAACACGGATCAGCAGCGCTGGGGTCTACTGCTTGGTTACTCTTACTGGGGCTACTGCGGTATCTCAAGGCTCCCACTGTCGTTGCGGCAGCATTAAGTCGGGTTCACACTCTTGCTGAAGGAATTGGGAGAAGGGAAAAACGAATGGGCATGGCACAGCGACAATAGTGGAGTGTGGAAGTCGGCAGTTCAATTGTGGTTCAGCTGACATCTCCCGGCTGCTCGCTGGCTGCGGCAAGATGAGGAGACTGAACCACCCCAAGTAACCCCAACGCACCCAGGCACACACTCAAGTTCAATTCCATACTATGCGGAAATGGAAAAGAAAAAGATTCAACTCTCACACTGGGATTAGTAACAGCAGCTGAACTTTCGAGCAGCTAGGCGAGTTGGCGTTGAAATGGCTTGCGTTGTTGGTGCCCTGGGGCGAGACTTTTCACCCCCTACTGGTTTCTATTTTCCCACGTATCTCCGAGTCGCACACACACAGATCCGCCGCACAGGCATTGGGAGTCAGCTCAGGCGTCAATGCGCGCACGACTGGCTGGCCTAAACATAAAATAGAAGATAATACACGTGAATAGAGACAAACGTAGAGTTTTATATATTTTTTCACTGTCCAATAACAACGTGACGTCTGTCAACCGTAGTACAAACGGGTACCTCCGTCTAAGGCTGCGTTCTTCCAAACTCCAGCAACAGTCCTACTTGCTTTTTTTTTCTCTGTCTACAAGATCTGCAAGATTACAGTGAGCAGCGGCCGAGAAAGCCCGGTGTCGCATGTTCGGACAGTCATAGCAACAACGTCAGCAATGCTAGAAACCCCAACATCAGACCTGGTCGTACCCAGCAGATCATGTGTACTATGACTGACGCTTGCCGTTTAGTCCTCATCTTTTCAGGAACTTTACGTAGCTCGCAAAGGCATAGAAGAAGTACGCTGTACGCATTCCGCCGTCACTTCTACATTGGTATATGTGTACGTTCTGTACGTATTACATTTGCTGTCTATTTGTATTGCGGTTGAAGTCGTAGTAGCAGTCATGCCGGTACCAGTGATAGTAGATGGTACTTGCCGCACAATCGTGTTTACTTCCAGTTCAGGGTCGTTTACGTTATTGTAACGTATGCACTGCAGGTATTCACCCAACTTTCTGAATCGTCAGTCTCAGCAACAGCAGCAGCACTGAAGAGTGGCGAACATGTTTGCTGAAATTGCTCCGGTCGCGAAGGTATCGCGGCTAACGACAAGCTTCATCTGCTTTATTATTCATTGCCAAGGATAAGATCAAAAAAGACGTTTTCTAAGGACAAAAATGTTCTAAGACCTTTGGGAAATTCAGACCGGTATTGGAATGGCGCTTTACAGCGGGATAAAAAAATAGGAATCTTCAGTGGAGACCGCTAAGGTCGTATGTATACCGTATGCGCATACACATCATGTGTTCCTGTATGCTAAATGCGTTTGTTCACTTAGAAGCTTTTCTCTGGAAATTTAACATCAACCTATTCTTTTTTCTCTTCTTTATCGTCTAATTGAGCCACTTAATTTTCCAAACACCTCCTTGTAGCCGATAGCTATGAACTTCATACATGTTCTTATTAAATATGTTCTTCTTTTTTTAGACGTACTCATTGAGTCGTCTACACGTGCTTGAAAACCCCTGAGCTTTTTTCTCTTCCCTCTGCATGAGTCAACATATATTGGCAAATAGCAGTTACGATTCTCCAATCTACCACACGCACACCAGTATACGCCGCTGGCTTAACTGACAGGAGATACCTTATTGAATTTGTTAACATGAATTAAGTGCCATGTTTCCGACCTGCCGATTTCTCCCGAATTTGATATAAGTTTTCTATTTATTTAGCCAGCGTGACACGTGAAATACGGCGACTTTATAAAAGACATCTGCTGTGACAAATATGTGCTAGCAGATTCTATTTACTTATTACCAATTGATAATCAACACTAGTTCGCTACTGTGAGATCCTTTTGCTTCTATAGTTAGAGTGGGATCATTCAGGACTTGAGCGTAAAGGTCCCGCAAGTCATCCGATAGTCAGACACTCCATTAGTCGATTGCTCTGTATTATATGATTTCGTTGGTAATGACGACAGCAGATAAAGTCATTCGGTCAAGGTCCATTGGTGTATCTAATCCGCTTTTACAGCTATTTTAAAAGCTTTACAGCTCCTGAAAAAACCCACGTGGAATTTATACCATAATACAAACAAGTCCGCTATTCATTAAACCTGTATAGTCAGGATATGTGGGATATATAGAGAGACACGAGTGATCTAGTTCACTGGCCCACTGGTCCCGCTGCATTCCTCTATTTTCATGCTTTGTCGGTTACTATCTTGAATATGTGCGGACGACCTGAATACTGATTGAAATCTATACTTGATACTACTACAAAACATAATTCTAACACTGTTAAATTTCGCACTTAGACGCATGTGATGGCGGCAGCTATCATTGTCGCGTACTAAGTATAGGCTCCAAGTACCTGATGTGCTTGCACAAAAATAGAATTGTTACCCAGAAATAAAAATACCTAATATCTGCCCGGTTTGTTCTGTCGCTATAAGAGGCAGTCAGTAGGTTGTTATAAAACTTGTTTCTTTTGCACAGAATTTTAGCTAAGCCTCAAGCAGTCGTGTGGAGTTTACTCGCTCCATCGGCTGTCGCTGACTTCGCCAAAGATACTTAACCTGGCAACGTCTAAAGCCCCGCTAATGTATTCATCCCGTACACGCTTGCCCCTCATCTCCGTCGAAACACAATTTGCATTCCCGCCGTCATTCAACTTAAAAATACGTGCCACGTGAAACCTCTGCCGGAAATAGGTCAGGAAGTAACTAATCAAGCTTCAAACCCACCCTCAATCCCAGAGCCCACGCAAACTCAGAGCGCGTTACAGCCTCAATTATTTTCGGTTCGAATAAGCTCAACTAAATAATATATATTTCTTACTGAATCACCGTTCCACAGATACTAGAATTAAATGCATGTTTAGTTCGGGAATGATGAGAGAATGTTTGTCTCGTTCGTGGACAACAATACTGCAACGATATAGCATTTTTTGCAAAAATCTGCTCAAGTTTTTCTTGGGTTTCGGCTCAGCTTCATAGTATTTATGGTAACAGTGAATACTTCTAGGAGACTTGTCGCCTCAAATGCTTTCCTTTGACATTTACAGCATTTAAATCTGTAAATTTTTGCGTTTCAGGCACTCGTAGGACCGTGGTCTATGCTTGGCATACTCTGCCACGTTACTCACGTCGTCATAGAAAGGAACAGGCCAACTGAGACTTAATTGAGGCCGACACATCGTACGAAAGGTAAATCAAGTCAAGTAGTAGTCCTTTCGTCCGTTTAACAAGCAGTTTTTTAGTTAGTTGTTCGGAAAATGTTGTGCTCTTCCAGCATCGTGTTGAATGACGCTAACCATGAATTAAGCAAATATATGAAAATACAACTAAATCTTAATAGCGCAACAAATTATAGTACTAAGTTTTTGCATTTTTTAAAAAACGTGTTGTTGCGTCTGGCAACGAAGGCTGGACCCGACCCGACGTATTCGTTAGTAAAGCATTTATATAGCTTATTTTCTGTATATTCACTCATTGAACTAGAAGTTCGATGAGTGAAGTTTTCTGCAATATGAATTAAATAGGTATATCCAGAGCTATATCAATAATCGCCCAAAAGGCCAGACATACTAGAATCACAATTTATATGTAAACGAATTTCGGTAAAAGGTAAAATCGGAGGTGGAGTCTTTTGGAGGTCTATTCTCTAACTAAACGAGCTACATCTCCAGTATTTACATCATGTACAAGTATGGCTTTGTCAGTTGGTCCACTCGAATTCATCACGGCCCCACCTTATTTTGTCGAAACGTTACACATTTACCCTTATAGAAATTTTTCGACGCGTACCTACACATGTATCTCCTTAGTATTTATTAATAGAGAGCATTGATTAATAGAACTAACATACACAATGAAATGCCAACGAATCAGAACAGATAAGGTTCGTCATCGCTGCCAGCTATTATCTATATAACGCTAATTAAATTGACGGCAGATACACCAAAACAAAGAAAGTTCTATTATAGCTACAGACATTTTGACAACCCTGGGTATTTTTAAGTAATTAGCATCCATTCGCTTATATCATCATTAGCATGATATAAAAGCATTTAAATCTTCTGGAAATAATTTAACTGTACAAGTTAAGTAATAAGAATAATCTATAAATAGATGGGTTACTGAGATGTCCACTATATATTTTTTTCGAAGCTGCTTAAACATCCTAATTTGTAGCTTTGCATACGAGAGACTACCATTTACAGTCAGTAAATAGACATACGAGTTGTCTATTCGCTGAAAAAATTGTTTGCTGATCCTACTCGCATGGGAAAGCAGAGATTTTTCTAAATTATGCAGAGTTAATAAATACCGAATTGGAACGTCAGGCGGTGAGCAAGCGTTCCAACACAATGGACATCAGTTTCTATTGCGAACCGCGTAAGGAATAATGAATCTAGGTCTTAGAGCAAACGAAATCTACTATATGCAGATGTGAAAATATTTCGTAGGCATTACTGATACTATTTATAGACCCCTTTGTATAGCCGAAGCTTCAGACTTGTTCTAACCTAGTCGCGATTCCGTTTTCTCAACAAACCGATGCGCTCGCAACGCGACAGGGATACCTGATCTGGCCGTATGGAAAGGTCCCGTGGAAAAATATCGCAAACAAAATTTATCGTTTTGCCCATCGATAGGTTCTCCCACAGGCCGGGAAGCCAAAATAGAGGTTTCGAAGGCGCTATCGTGACAGCTTTACAACGAAGGCTTTTTTCTAGTGCGCTAGGTCAGCACGCTCAAACAATAAAAACTAGAAACAGATCAGCGGCGTTCATTCTAAAAGGTACACTTCCCTGCAGCACTTCTGACACGACAACACTTCTGGTACTATCTTCTGTCCATAAATAGTTCTAGATTCATCTTAACTTGAACGCTTCAGCGAAACGTTAATTTCTTCAGTCAGTAGCCGACATATATGAAGTGTATGGGCAACATGAATGTTGTCTTTAAGGCTGCTCGGTGCACAAACTGTGAGAAATTGCCTCTGCCGGACTCGATCCTATTTCACCGCCACCCCCTCATTAGAAAAAAATATCAGCTTGGAATCATAACAACAAAAGGAATGTCTTTTGTTTACATATGGATGTTTATATATAAAGGTGAACATTTATTAATTTTAATGAATGCCTTCAATTAGACCCTGTAGTCATGGCCAATGCCAAATATACCTGCTTGGATATATACAAATGGCAGAGACATAGGGTACATATTGTTATTCGTGTGACGAGCTTTTACAGGAATAGGGAATAATTTAGAAGGCCCGGGTAGCGTGGTTATATGCGTACCCATAGACTCCGTGACCGATGGTACCCAATGGCGTGAACACGTCGGCTGCTTATACTGCGGGAACGGGAATCTTGGCCTCAGCGGAAGCTGCAATCGCAGCGGGGACAGCATAGTCGACCACGGCGGGGGCGGCCACAGCTACGGGAGCCGCGTGAATAGCTCCGTGCTGGACTGCGGTCGAATACGAGGTGGCCTTTGCTACGGTAACGGGAGCAACGTACGTAGCGGGAGCCACGGAAGCCGGATATGCGGGGGCGGTCACGACGGGAGCGGCAGCTACAGCAAGAGCAGGGGCAGTGTTGTATGTAGCTGCTGCAGGCAGCGACAGAGCAGTTCCGGGCTCGTTGGTGGCGATGTTAGCACGGAATCCAGCGCCATCAGCGACGTAGTGCACGGTACGAGCGCGTCCGTCGATATCGGTGAGTCCATAGGATCCGGCTTTTACGCCAAGCGAGCCAGTCTCTTGACGAAAAGATCCGCCGGTCGAGTGCTTCTCGTCGTAGCTGAAAGCGTAGTTGCCAAGGCCCTATGAAACAACAAAACATATAAACGAACGAAGAAATGATTTAATATTAAATCATTTATTATTATCATATATTTATTATTTATTATATTAAAGGTCACAAAATGTTTTACGATAACTGAAGTTTGTTTGGTTCACTTCAGTATTTAGAAATCATGGCTAATACATACTAGGCCGTATGAGAAGTTGCGTTTGCACTGATATGTTCGTACCGCATTTACACAACTGCTACAATGACAATTGGATGCAAACTTTCACAGTTAACAGTCACTACTTAATAACTTACATATACTTTTAATATGCTTTTATGATATTGACTGTACTTTGTATATTTACGTACTATGTACTATTACTTGAAAAAGATGCGTTAACAAGTGTTTTATGTATCTAGTAACTTGTTACACTGTTACTGTGTAAGTTACTGTGTAACTTCAAGCAATTTTACTTATTAACTCACATCCTCCGAGCGATGCTGGGTAGAGTGGCCCGAGGAGAGGAGGACTCCGGCGTTGGCTGCAACCGCAAGAGCGAGGACAATAAGGATTTTCATGATTGTTCCTTTAGAACACGATCTAAAACAGAAAGATCTGCGTCTGCAGAAGCCCAGCGATCCTTTTATACCAGGTGTACCCCAAACGTGAATGGGCTGACGGAGATTTGTCGGAACATGTTTGCGCGGCCTTCCAAGGTCAGAAAAGAAGAGTTTTAATGATTGATCTCAACAGCATCGGCACCAGCAGCAACAGAAGCAGCGGCTATACGATCACCACTACCACCACGACGGCTTTAATGCCGCTGAGGAGAGATACAGTGTGTACCAACTACACAACAACTCGTTCGGACGAGCGACGGCCACGGCCAGCGAATACCAGTGGATTTCGCGCAGCCACGAGCACTGCTTACTAGTCGTTGGCGGCCGCGGCCGAATGTGATGCCGGCGGCCGTAAACTTTCGTTTGATTCGACCCGCACTCCCCGCCCTCGACCTTCAGCAACGGTGGTTGGTAGTAGCGACGGCAGCTCAACGGCCGCGATAATTACGTGTGTCCCCATGGATCGCACCCAGCAAAACGCTAGGCTGAATGACCGATCGACTAAACGAGACGGCTAAGTACTGCCAAACAGATGACTCCGGTAGACGGCGCTGCTACATCTGTCGTCTGCATAACATTGCCATAACAACGTCACTGACCACTAAATACGAATAGAATCTACGTAACATGTAGAGAGTTGTCTTTTCGCTGCAGTTCAAGGCTGAACACGCTATTGAGTGCCGCAATTAGGAGATATGCAGCTGGAAAAGGGAACCGTAATAGGACATCGATTGTTTTGTAAAGGCGGTATTATTACGCATAGACGCTGATTTGTTAATACCCTATACTGTGTATTCTAGCATTAAGTACATATCTACATATAAACAGGACACTTGTACTGGGGAAAAACAATTTTTAATTGCATTTGATTTTTGAAGCATTTCTAAGGGTGTCTACTCCTTATACTAATTGCTTAAATCAAGTGGCATACTTTTTAATTGAACGAATATGTTTTGCTTTTTGTTAAAGACTTATCTAATAATTTTGTATAGAATTATTATTCAGGCACGATCTCAAAATACTATCAAGTCGTTTCATTCAAATGACTTAGTAGCTACAATCCCTTCAACTCAATTGAGAGTAAATGTTTTTTTATTAATGACGTATTTTTAAAGGTCAGCATACGATTGAGCCTTATTTTGAAACGAAACCCGTTTGAATTTTGCGTTAACGCAAGAAGATATAACGGTATGTATGTAATAGGAACGAGAGAGCTAAGACGCCTTAAAGATGAGACCCTTGAACAAATTGCAGTTTGATTTGATTTTAAAAATTCAATAAAAGCCATAGATATCTTTGTAGAAAAAAAATGAGTCACTAGATTAGAGTTGTAACATGCTGGCCTTTGCATTACTCTGTTTGGTTATTTTTGATCGAACAGTATTATACTACCATTTAATCGTTAAGGCAGTCCTCAAAAGAAAGGCCCTTCACTAAACTACTAGCCTAAGAAAGCATCCTGCTGATATGCACTTTCTCTGTACCTTGATTTGAAGTAAGATATATACGACTTGTCGGATCAGAAGTCCTGGTAGTGGGCGCCATAGCAACGGGTCATTGTAACAAATGCTAGATTTATGTCAAGTACCTTATCTCTTTGTGAGCTACAGAAAGCAAACAAAATGGCCAAATTTTTCCTAAATGCAGAAGTCATTGTCTAGAGAAACAGATACAGAAACACTACCCGTGTGACTCACGTATAATCGATCGCGTACCTCGTCTATTATCTTTTATAAGTTAAATTGTAGTTTAAACTTAATACGGTCGTCCAATGTTCAAGTTGTTAATAGCGCAGATGATTAAAAACTGTCGAAAGAAATACTTTTAATTATTGATAGGGTTTTGTGTTTTATCTAAACTTTTCCACTTAGTAAATAGCGGTTTTACCTCTATCACCATATAGCATACAGACGATCAGTAATATTTCGTGCACCTATTAAAACAATTGACAAAACCCTACCATCGCATTGCCAAGAAAGTACCAGAAACGTCTCTTCCTGTTTGGTTTAAGATATCCATATCACTAAATGCAATCTCAGAGGTACTCTACGGGGTTCAGTATAGCAGTACAACAGAATTACTGTGACCTGAAACTGTTTCAGTCCATTACGCTTGATAAAAGTATTTTTTTTCAGAAGAGTACTTTTACTGTATACTGATACCTTTCTCGTGCAAATCCGGCATAGGTAGGTAATTGAAGATAACTCAATTAGCTTGTTCTTCTTGCTAACCCAGGGATGCCATATGGGTCAAAGTAGGATTATATTTGATTGGTTATTTTTTAAATATCAAGTCATCGCTGTAGGGCATAATGCTATCTGACTGTAAAGATGAACAGGTGGGCGAAATGCAACAAATGAAAAAATCGTATTTAGAATGTCTAGCTTGCGTAGAACAGAGAAAAAAAAATAAATTAATCATAATTTAGAGCCTGAGAAATCAGGACGTTTGCGTTAGGTTTACAGAAGCCACCAACAGTTGCAAAATATACGTGTGCTTTTTTGTAACAGAATACCTACAGCTGAAGCACGACGACGTACTAAAACAATGATGAATTAACCTTACTTGAAGACGCATAGAAGGCCACCACGGTATGCTTTAAATCATATCTAGTATAATGATATTTCAGGAGACAGGAGATCTTGCAGCCAAAAAAAGAATCAACTATAGATGAGCTGTGTCAAATTTTTACGGGCCAAATTTTATTTTATACGGTTGTGCTTATTAATGAAAAGCTTCGTTTTCATTGCACCGGGTAAGGACGCTAAGGAAAGCTCGTTGTAGAAAACGAACCCCTTAAAGGAACTCAGAGAAGCAACCCCGGTCCTAAGCTTTATTTGAAAACTGTATTTAATTAATCGCTGCACCCTCTTTACATGTAAAAAAAAATCAAAAAGTCTGAAGCTGATATTTGAGTAAAAGTGTAGGTCTGGAAATTTCATTAAATATTCATAAGCAATTTTGTATATTGGTCAATAGACGCGGTCGTTATATTTTATGCATTATAAACGACATTTTATAAATAATGCTTTCTTGCTTTAATCGCTTTTCAAAGCGTTATAAAAAGTTTGTTCGTTTAAAAATAAGGAATGATGGATAAGGAGTTGCGAGCATAACAAATTGTCGTTGAATTTTTTAAAAGACTTCCTGAAAATCTCCGTAAGATTTTGGGTTGTGCTAAAAGCAAGGGCAGTTTTCAGATTGAAACGGAGACAATTATTTTTTGCTTTCCGGCTAATATTTTTGAACTAAATAAGCCCAATTTTTATTGGTTATGTTCGGACATTTTCCTAGTAATATTACAATACCACCACCGTGGAGCTTCTCGGCCTTCTAGGTGAAAAATCTGATAAAAACTCGCATCTCTCCTTTGAAACTAAATTAACACCGTTAAAATAGTTCTGCAGGACCAAAATAGATGATAGTCTCATGGTGCTCAACGTTTGAGCTGTATGGCGAACGCATTAGAATGCCCAATTTGAATTGCCGCAATATTTGCGGGGTAGTCTGAGGTATTTGTAGCTTGGGGTTGTCGTGGTGAAGGACGACGCCCTTCTCTGTGCACTGGTTCCACTCTGTTTTAGATAACGTCTCATTGTGATCCTGTTAGTTGTTTATCGTTTCGTTTTGTCGAATCAATCGTTTTGTCAGGCAGCAGGAGCTCATAACGCGCGATTCTCTGCCAATCGCCCCGATCATATAGCACCATCTCCTTTTTGGTATTAGCTTGAATTTGCTGCAAATTGTCGAATGTCTTCTTTTTTCTATATTTTTTACCTGCACATTATTTTTGTGTGTGACCCACTTGTCATCATCCGTCATTGACCGTTTTAGAAATGACGACTCGTCGTGTTTCTGTAGAGTCTCGAAATTACGATCGACTCAATTCTTTCGCGTCGACTCGTGTGGCACCCAGACATCGAGCTTTTTTGTAGCCAACTTTTATCCAACTCGTTGAGAATTGTCTGTTGGTGGATGTTTAGCCCCTTAGTGATACCGTGGCTACTCGTTTGTCAGCCTTCCTTGAACTTTCGCAAGAAGTTCATCAATCTTTTCCGTAATTCGCTGATTACTGCGAGGAGGACCTTTCACAGAAATTTCCAGAACCGAAGGAGCTGAACCATTCTTAGGCCTTAGTTTCTTTGGATAACGCATATTGACTACAAACAGGATGCATGTTTTAATGGGCCTGGCCAGTATTGGCGCCTTTAAAAATAAAATAATAACGAGTTTCTATTGAAATTTCACTTAGCTCTAGGTGCTCTATCTTATCTTTAAATTCTATCGCATCTATCCATAATATCAAGCCAATGTTTGCCTATGTCTAGTGTATTTTTACAGTTTTATATATATATTGATAATTAAGTTTGGGTTAATGGGAAAAATTCACTAAAAAATTCAAGCTAAGAGAAACAGAATAAATTCGTGTTTTCACTACTGAAAGTCATCCTGAGTTAGTGACAATTACTTGTTTTTGGTCAGCTGGAATATGAAATTGTACAACAATATCTTTAAATCAGCCAACTCTTTAAACTATCATATTTTTTTTAAGTGGCCGACTAATATTTACTCGATAAGAACAATCTTCAGAGGACCGTCCCGTTCGTGATACGTAGACTGCTGCCTAAGTCGTTTAATCTTCCACAAATCCTTGAATTAAGTGTATAATTGAGAATGCTTATTTTATTACTAGACATTGCACTGTTTTCGGCAGTCTTTGCCTAAGTTCGAAGGAACTACATTTCTAGAACAATCGTAAACCAAAAGTTACAGTTTGATATCACTTACTTGAACGATGTATCCTCACGTAGAACATAAGTTTTGCAAAGCAAAGCTGAAAATGGTCATCTTTATCAACGTTCGAAATTCAGATAATATGGCGTTGTATGTAGCAAGCATTTGTTTGGGTTGAGATTGTGACACGCTTTTTCCGATCGGCTGCGAAGATAACTGAAGAAATCTATAGTTTTCAGCAAGGCAGGCTCAACGTACTATCCGTTCCGGTCCTTTTATGGTTTTCAGGGGATACGCACTTAAATTGGAAGTACAATGAGTAAATAAGCTTGTAATGAAGGGTCC